TCTCTGGCCCAAGATCAACATTTCTAAGAAAATAAAGAAAAGTGGAAAGTAAGAAATCAGTACTTCTAGAATGATGCTAAGCAAGGCTGGGGTTCACATATTTGCATAGCAGGTACCAAGTATTTCAACACACCCATGAGAAATAACTTTCAATTATCTAAGTATATGTAACTGTGATATTTTAGAGGATGGAAAAAAAATACAAGTTGAGAAAAAAAATGTGGGCAGTCCTTAAGGTATGCTGAAAGTAGCACTTATCAAACTGCAATTTGGGATAAACATGCCACCCACAAATCTGAACATCAAATTTTAAAACCTATTGTTCATCAACGATTATTCATATTTTTCCCTTTATCACCTTAAGTTGGCATTAAAGATAATGTCTCAGGACTGTCTCATGTCTTAATAAACTTATGGGGAACCCTTGCTCTAGTACACCAGTATTTTCCATGCATATTAATATTACATATAATATTAATATTTAATATTTAACGTAAATATTAAATGTACCTTTTTTATTACATGAAGCCGATCCAGTTAAATAAAGGTGTCTGCAAAGAGTAATACAGTCAAACTTTAAAACAGTAGATTCAGGGGCTGGAGACATAGCTCAGTGGTAGAATGCTTGCCTACCCTGGGTTGAATCCCTAGTGTCTCACACACACACACACACATTTTCACACACCCAAAAAACACAATGCTGAATATTTATTAAAACTAGTTTTTAAGCAGACTTACCCTGTCGTAGTTTTGTATGAAAGAATGATATTGAGAGGCTGTTCTGTAAGGCTGTGATGCCTAATTTTACCTGTGTTACTTTACCAATTAACCATGTGTTATGGTTTGTGTCTGGTTGTGCCTCCAAAACCTCATGAAGTCATGGGCTGGGCTGCTAGAGTTTATGATTGATCCATGGTCGAATGCTGGGATTATGGATGTGAAAGCTACACCTGCGCTGGGGCAGGTAGCTTGCGTACAATATAAGAGAGGGAAAGAGGCTTGCTCTTCCAGCTGCCGCTCCCCTCTTTTGCTCTGGTTGCTTTTCTGTCTTCTGCCACCATGAACGGTTGCCCTCTGCCATGTGCCACTCTGCCTTGGAGCCAACGGAGGATGGACTGAAACCTCCACAAACTGTGAGCTAAATAAACCTTTCCTTCCTTAATTCTGGGTGGCAGGTATTTTATCTCAGCAATGAGAGAAAAGTAACCGAGACACCATGCAGTTAATATTAAAACTGATACTTAAAATTACAGAACATATTAATCTTAGAAAAAAGAGTACCAATGCGTATCTATTAACAGGAATAATCATCACTGGGAATAACAGGAAACATTTTCAGGTGATCTTTAGAATTACCAATAATCAAATCGCAATACCACAGTACTTTTTACTTAAATTACATAAACAAGATTGGCCTCTCAACCTCTTTGTTCCAGTTTCTTTTCAGTAGGAAGAAAACAAACAACAATGAAAGAAATCTAAAAGCACTTAGAATACACTCTTGCCTTCTAGTTTCTTCACGTTTCTTCAACAGAAAAACACCGACATTTCTTTTTATAAAAGGAGATGAAAAAGATATTTTCCCATAGCTGGAGAGGAAAATTCTTTTATATTAAAAGTAGAGAGGAATATAAGACTGAACACTAGGGGCTGGGGATTTAGCTCAGCGGCAAAAGCACCTGCCTGGCAAGCGCAAGGTCGTGAGTTTGGTTCCCGGTACCGGAGAAAAAAAAAAAACAAAAAAGAAAAACCAAAAAAAACCAGACTGAACACTAAAATCAGATATTAAACCTCTTAAAGCAGGTTAACGGCTTCATCCTCAAAATTATGAAGGAAAGCAAAGAATATACAAATGCATAATTCAAACAAATGCACTTCCTCCATCAAAAGAAATTGCCACATACAACTACCATAACAAAATACAATTCAAAGCCATACTGAGAACTATAAATAAAAAGGCACAGAGAGAAAATGTAAAAATAATTAAGATGTATGTATACGTACCAATTCCCCAAGATGAATGTAATTATTATGTATCACAAATAGATGCCAACAATTAAAAAGTGCAGTTTGTACTGCCTTCAAAGAAACAGTAAAGAATGTTTTCCACTATTTCTTAAAGTCAGCAGTTATAAGCCTGAAGGGAAAACAAACAAAATTGCAAGTTGAAATTTTTAAAGAGAATTAATATACTCTCTCAATAAGTGACTTTTATTGTAAGATAGCAGCTCTGACACATAAGGCAATGTTCTGAAAGATAAATGTAATACTCACTAAAACCAGGCTAAGTCTGTTATTGTACCCCAAAAGAAATTCCCAGAAATGTGGGCAAGGCAAATTCACTTTGTCTTTGATTCTACTTTGTAACCAAATGTGCCTAGAAAATCTGTACAAGTTTAGTTCACTTTCCCTTAGTACAACTTCAGACTTGCTTCAATACATCCATTTATCAATATACCTTTCACCTTTGGAAAAAATACCTAACATATTGCAATATTCGTAAGAGTAATACAGCCATACCTGAAAATGTCTTCTTAAATTTTAATGGCAGAGACACCCTGGTCTATTTTAATTGAATCATGTCACTTTCTATTATTAAAACAGAAAAGCATTCTTTGAATGATATGCTCCTTAGGGTTAACATTTTTGATTTCTTCGCTTTCTTTTCTATTGAGCAAAGAAGCGAAGAGTGAAATGTTACATTATTTGAATACAATGCGTATAATTAACTGGACGTAGACAATTCTGTTTCAAAAGATAGAAGCACAGTTGCCTCTAGCCTGGACATACTATTTTAATAATGTATATAAAGTCCGTTTTTAAAATAAGGCCAAGCCGGGCATGGTCACACACGCCCATAATCCCAGCACTTGGGAGGCTGAGGCAGGAGGATCATTGCGAGTTCGAGGCCAGCCTATGCTACAAAGTGAGCTCAAGGCCAGCCTGAACTACATAGCAAGACGCTGTGTCAAAAATACAAAAATAAAATAAGGCCATACTCTGTGGAAAAGAATTACAGCTTTTGTGTCTAAGGCACTTTCTTAAAGTAATACAACTGTATAAAGAGGTCATCCCCACTATTATTATGATATAAAATTACAACTACACTTTCACAAAGAAACTCAAGTTGATTAGTTTGAGTTTCCATCAACTTGAAATAAAAATTTTTCCTACTGCATAAGGTAATAATTTTCAACTCTATTTGCTAAATCTGCACTTACTACATAAAGTACATAGTTTATTATAGATTTATTCTAGTGAAATTCTTAGTCCTATCAGTTTTGTATTTATTGAAGTTGACCATTTGGATTTTTCAGAATTACTTTGTCAAGAAACAGAATGGTTTATATACAAAATAAAGCATTATTTCAACGTGTTATTAAACATCAATAACGAAACAATTTCCAGTAGAAACACAACAAATCGAAAGATTATAGCTATTATTTTTTAAACAGTTGTACAGAAGATCTGTTGTAGGGAGAAAGGTCGCTACTGTACAATTTTATACTTGCGCAATTCATTCTCTAAAGATAGGCTGTGATTCCTATAAAATAGGTAGTTCTTCAATAAGTCTCCCTTAAAACAACTGAAGAGTCCCTTCCGATGATTCTAGAATTCAAGCAACTTGGAAATTATGAAAAGCCATTAGCAAGTCCTGGTAGTTAAAAAGAAAGGTTTCCCAGACAGATCTGTGTTAAAATCTCGGGTCATTCCACTTACAGAAGGGTGTGCCCTTGGGCGAGCTTTGTAACTTCTTTTGGCGTCAATTTTTTCACCTGCAAAACTGGTCATTGTATCCAATAAGAAATAGTAAATAAAGGCTGCCTCTTAGTAAGGGGTCAACAGAGTAGCTATTATCATTACTGTCAAGAAGGCTGACTGGAGGGCTTATTGAGGACCTCGCAAACCTGGGATGGCCCTTTTATTTTAAAATCCACCCTTTCCTTGCTTAGCAGGGTAACTACGGGTACGTTGCTGCTGTTCGTTTTTATCAATGACTCCACAGAACCAAAAAAGTGTATGTGTTAAAAAGTGAACTTGTAGCAAGAACCCCTTATTCAGGGACAACTGTAAGTGATGCTGAATTTGTCAAAGGATCATCATCCTAGCTTTCAACCAACAGTGCAGATCCCAGGAGACCGGAGAGGCTTCTATCCACCCACCTATGCTTTTAAGCCACGACTTCAGCCTGAAGAAAAGCCTAGCGCTCAGGACAGTGCCATGCAGGATGGGTTCTTAATAGTTCCTCGTTTCAGTAATCAACAAGTGCACATTTCGGATGGATGCTAAAGTCCCCGGAAACACCGATTTCCAGAACAAAATCTTCATCTCCTGTTCTGAACTGGAGCCCCCCTTCCCTTACCAAGAACTCAAGATTTAAACTTTTATTTTCACTTCATTATTTCAAAAAACGTTACCGGTTGAGATTATCCCTAAAGGAGTGAGAAAAAAAGCTCCAAAAGCGATCGGGTAAACGGCCTAAAGTTAGTTTGTAAGAAGCGGGATTCGAACTTGCATCGCGGGGCTGCGAAGTCCAACGTGCGCGCGACACGTTAAAGTTGGTACCACGCTTCCCCCCCGGGGCAGCCCCCTTGTCACGTGTCCGTGTCCCTGAGCTCGAGGGTGGACCGCACGGTTTCAGATCTGGCACTTGCCCCCACCTCCGCGGCCAGCCCTCGCATCTCCCACCGCCCCCACCGAGGGAAGGAGGCACCGAGCCGGAGCGCAGGCCCCGAGCTCGGGAAGCCGCGGGACCCCGATCGCCCGCGTCCCCGCGCCACCCCGAGGGGTCCGTCCCGGCTGGGGTCCGGGGCTGCCACCGCGCCCAGGTCTCGGGTCTTCGCGGAGGCCCACGTTCACACCGGGAAAGGGGAAACCGCAGGGCTAGCCTCTGCCAACACCCTCTTCGCGGAGGAAGCCCTCGGGAAAAGGTCGGAGTCGCAGTAACAAAGCCAACAGTAAAACCTCAAGCTCCTCTGACGCCCGTTAAACGCACTTACTTCAGCGAAGTATTTCCAGGGCGGTAGGCCGGCACCGGCAACGGAAAGGGCTCCTCTGTCCTCCAGCCCCCAGAGCTGGCGGTGACGACATCTAGGCGCGCCGCAGACAGCGAAGGCCCCCGTGCCCGGCCTCCTCCCAGCCCGGCGCACACAGCGCGCGTGCGCATCCGCGAGGGGGTGGGGCGGCCAGGCGGCGCTTCCTTTGCGCGTCACGCACGGAGGTCCCCCTGGGAGGCTGGTGGTTTGAACATGTCGCGCCTGCAGCGTGTTGCCGCGCGGGATCCGCGGGCGGGTTTCAGGGCAGAGAGGACAGACAGCAGTACTTCTGTCCCCCAGGGGCTGTTAAAGTCGGCGAGGAAGAGCGGCCAGTTAAACTTGTCTGGTAGGAACCTCAGTGAAGGTAAGATTCAGAGGGACCTGGGCGGGGCGTCCCGCCCGAAAGCCCTGGCCCCGGCCGCCGCCCCTCGCCGTGGCCCGGCCTGAGCGTGCCTTCCCGGGCTCCTCGCAGGCAGCCTGCTGCGGTGATCGAGGCTTTCCCTAGCGCGTTTCCCCCGGCTGGCTGTTCCGCCTGGATCGTTCCTCCGCCTCGGGCGATCTCTTGCCGGGGGCGGGTCTGGGGTTCCGGTCCTGTGCGAGTGAGCCGGCCGTCGGTTCAGGGGCAGATATTTTGTTTCTTTGACCTTCATTTACCTCCTCTTAAATTTGATCTCAGAGCACTTAGCGTTGTATGATATTTTGTCTGACCCTTAAGCGAGGGTGGGGAGCGGATGCAGAGACGCTCTTCCGCAGCAGCGGGCCAAAGTCCGAGCGCCACGGAAGAGTAAGCAGATTTTCTGAGCGGAAGATCGGAATCAATGCCGCGCGAAGTGTACGCATTTGACGTCATTCCGGCGGACCCAGTGTAGACCAGCTGGCACAAATCTGGATCCGGCTAATGAATGGTCAGATGCACTCCAGATGTGTGGGGGGCGGGTAAGGGAAGGATAGAGAAATAAAGCTTTTTTGTCCTCTGATGTTTTATTTTTAGTCAGGACTTTACACTTCACAGAGTTAAAGCCTCCATTTTCCTTCTAATGATTGCTTAGTTGCTGTGCCACGTATCCAGGAAACATGCTGAATGAATGAAAGGCTATCTGACGTAAAATCTGCTTTGCCTAGAGATTTGTTTGTTTGCTTGCTTGCTTGTTTGTTTGAGACAGGGTCTTGCTATGCAGTTCAAGCTAGCCTTGAATGCATAGGTAGCCCAGGCTGCCCTCAGACTCGCAGAGATCCTCCTGCCTTCGCCTCCTGAGTGCTGGGATTGCGGACGTGCGCCACCACGTGCGGCTGTACCTAGAGTTTTTAATCGTTGGGAGCAAAAAGCACTTTCAAGCTCCCCCGCCCCACTAAAATGCACAACCTTTTTAAAAAAAATCCCCTTTTCCTTCTCTCCCAGCTCCTTCCATCTCCTTTCCCTTCCCATTTTTAACACTATTTTTATTAGTATACATGTGCATATCCATTGATCGCGTTCACCGTAGGCAAATTGTACCTGTGCAGAATGCGTCTCAGTTTTCCATTTCTTCCTATTCTCCTCCCCTGCCAACAGCCTTTCTTACCTCCCCATTTATGCAAGCTTTGTTTTCATTTTTTCCACCATTCTCTTCCTTTCCTTTTCCTTCTCTACCACCTTCCCCCTTCCTGTTCCCCTTCCCATTTGAAAAGATCTCTCTACTTCCTATTATCCATCTTTTATTAATTCTATGAGGCTTCCCCCTATGCAGTATGCTTTTATTGTTCTGCATGTCTTTTTGATGACTTGAGTGTTATTTTTTTTTATGGCTAAATACCATTCCCTCCTATAAGTATATCATTTTGTTTACCCACTCACCTTTTGAAGAGCATCTTGATTACTTCAGTTTTGGGCAATTATGAATAAAGCTCCTCTACATATTCATGTTCAAGTTTTTGTGGAGGTGTAAGTTTTCAACTCATTTTGGTAAAAAGCTGGATCCTATGACACGATTGTATTTAGCTTTGCAGGAAATGGCCAGACTGTCTTCCACAATCTACTGTTTCTTCCAGCTGGTGTGCTGGGGGCTAAAGAAATAAAGATTAATGACATCTTCAAATAATTCATAGTCTCATAAGCCATTTAATGTACACTTTATTATTAATCAGTTTGCCCTTGTTAAATAAACTTTTTTCATACTCCCAATTCTTTTTATTCTGCTTTCATATTTAGGTATAAATGTATGCATAAGATATAGCCCTGGCTATATTTTCTGTGTGGAAAAAAATTAAACTTAACCTTTAATGAAATCAGTGAAGGGCAAACAGGTAAGGCTATTTAGAAGTTAGCCTTGAGCATATTCACTTACACCTGTAAGTGAAATATGGGTACCCCTGATTTGTTTAGATATGCTTTTTGTAGGTTCTAATTCTGTTTTGGAAATAGCATTTTTGTGTGTGTGTACAAGAGCATACACCTGTTGCAGAAAGATTAGATTGTAGAAAAGCATAAATGAAAATAACCAGTCAGAATGTTTCACTGTTAATATTTCAGAGGTTTTTCTTCTAATAGCTTTGTTGTGTGAGTATATATAATTTTACTTCTGCATTCTTAATACTTTATTTTTTTGGACAGTTTTATCTTTTGGTAAATAAATATTTATTATTGGACAATTTTTTTTTTTTTTTTGGTACCAGGAATTGAACTGAAGACTTCATGCTTGTCAGGCAGGCACTGCACTACTGAGCTAAATTCCTGGCTTTGGCTTTATTTTTAACGAGTTTAGAATAGGATGACTCCTGCTTTTTTGACCTCTATTTGTACAATTTTCAGTCTCGGAAGAAAAATCTGATTACCTTTAATGGCTGTATAATACACAAAATTTGATACATAAACATTTAAATTTTCAAGTATTCTTGGCAATATTTTAATCATTATTCCAAGTGTCTATGACATATTTAGAAAAATATTCTGGAGCAGAAATAACTGTTAATAACTGACTTCAAAGAAGAATAATGTAAATATTCTGGAAATGTTAAATGATTTAATTAGCAGCAGCGTGAGAATGTATCATCAGTTTGGTAAACATTATGACTCTGTTTCCCTGGACACATAAAGGGAAGACAGAGTTGTAAAGAAGTTAGGAGTTACAGCTCGTTGCTTTTGGTTGCATATTGATGGTGGAACATTGATAGGGAAGTGTTTGCAGATGGTTCTTCTAAAACCTAGGAAAAGCAAAATATGCCACAGATTGGAACAAAAGAAAGCTGTAAGCTCCAATAGGAACTACATTCTCAAACTGAAAATGTTATGGGTAGCTGGATAATTTATTGAGTGAGGCAATTAAATTAATTTGGAAACCATATTATTTGAAGAGAAAATATTAATGTAGGTTTTTTTTCCTTTGAAGATGGCAGATTGTTGTGATTTTTCTTCACTGATGGAATTGCATATTCAGATCTTATGTTCTTAAGTATAGTGTTTTAGGTAATTAGGATTTGCCTTGTTCAGTATGTATAATTTGTCAGACAGGTTAAAAAGTATAATACAAATTATTTATTTATCACGGTTTTCGTTAGCCATCGTAAATCTCTAGAAATGATCTTCTACTCTACTGTTTAGCTTGATTCTGTGGTTTGGCTACTAGTTGTTCAATGAAACGTCTGCCTAGCTCATAAGGATTAACTAAAGTATTAAGAATATTTTAATAAACTCAGAAAATAACTGCTTTCAGGAGAGTAGGTTATCAAAACAAGTAATTTTTGTGTAACTAAGAAATGACAGAAAGAGAAAAGTGTGTAGGTATGCAAAATCTTTTTATTTTTTTAGTATTTGAGGCAGGGTCTATGCAGTTGAGGCTGGCCTTTTAAGTCACTCTAGCCCAGGCTGGCCTCAAACTCCCTGAGTTCCTCCTGCCTCAGCCTCCCAAGTGCTAATTATATGCCTGGCATGTTTGGTGTAAATTCTTATTGTGAACATTTCTTTTTTACTAAAATCCAGAGAAATTTGGATTGTAAAGCAGGGAACTAAACAGTGAATTGAAAGTCCCATTCCTGTTTCTTGATCCCTTAATAGGTTGTTCTCAAATAATTTGAGTGTCTTAACCTCTTAAGATGTGAATCTCAAGTTATTACTAAGACCATATTTGTTTAATAAATTAGTGCAAATTCCAGCTTAGCCCTATCTTCTCAGCTCACATTCCCACATTTTAATGTTTTTTTGAGTAGGTGAGAAAAAGATGGAGGTAGATAACGAATGTGGATTTTGTCACAGGAAAAGTACAGACTGTGGAAAAAAATAGTGCTAAAGCTTTCAGTGAGGGCTTTCTTCACTATAAAACTCTCTACCCTCAAGTTAAAGTAACAGATTCAGGCATATTTTTCTCAGGAAGCTATTGATATGTTTTTCTTTTGGCATGTTAAACATCAGTTCATGTTTGTCATCCTTGTTGGACTTCAGCATGAAATGGTTCCTTTGATAACCTCTAACTTAAAATGTGTGAAGTGGTCTGAAACAAAAAGTCAGAATTAACCTCAGGCTGTAAGTAAATTAATGCCTCCCTGCAATTCTTTAAGCTTTAAAAACAATCTGAAAACGACCCTGCAGTGCCGTCAGTATGAGGTAATGAGGCCATGTGGTGGTCATCATACATTACAGAGGAGGAAACTGGGATGAGCTCTCTCATTTCTAATGTAGTGACTTGGTTTATGAGCTCTCTCATTTCTAATGTAGTGACTTGGTTTATGAGCTCTCTCATTTCTAATGTAGTGACTTGGTTTATGAGCTCTCTCATTTCTGATGTAGTGACTTGGTTTACTTTTTAAAGTGCTCATAATTGGGCAGACCGTTCAGTGAGTAACATTTGCTTCAGATTTGGAGGTTTTAGATTACGATGCTCAACTGGTAAGATCTATGCAAATATTCTAAAACCTGAGAAGCCTTGAAATTTCATGACATTTCTAGTTCCAGGAATTTTGGATAAAGGATACGCAACTTTTACAGCTATTGCTAGATCCCAGCCCTGGCTGTCAGCGAGTCTCACTTAATCAACACGGAAATTGGGAGCGAGTTGTTTGGTTTGTACCAGACCCGTAGGTCCTTGACGCTTAGGCTGATGGTCTTCTAGTTGAATACGTTTAGTCTCTTAGAAGAGTAACACTGATGTAGGCTACGATGTAGACCAGTGGTGGCGAACTTGTGGCTCGCGTGTTATCTGATTTTCTTTGAAGACAAAAGATGTTACCATAGAAGTTTTTTTCCCTAAACTAAAGCCTCTGTTGGGGTTTAATTGCAGTGTTGGCGCTTTGTGATAAATAAGTGGGTTTTGGGTTGCAGTTTGGGCGCTCGGGTTCACCATCCCTGATGCAGACCTGGGTGGGAATTACGCTTTTCTGCCCGAGGGAAACACTTCCTGTCATACAGTGTGGACCGTCAGCGTCTCTTGCGGCTGTTGAAGACATTGGAGAGGATTGTTAATTCTTACAGTCTGTTGCTCCGTTTCCTTGCTCCACTTTTTTCTTTACCCTTTCACCATGAGCATCACTTTAAACTTTTTAAAATCTCCATCTCTTCACCCACAACTTCTAGATATCTTCCATAGTTTTACAATCCTCTGCCACCTACCCATGTATTAGTCCTCGTTCTGTGATTTCCTGCTGTCAGCGGAAAAGAACAGTATGTCCCCAAAATGCGAAGAAATCTTTTTCCCTGTGGTTGTTAAGGGTTGTGCTGTCCATTGTGAGACATGTGGACAGTTTAAGTTTGTAATTAACCAGAATGAAATAACACTAAAAATGAAGTTCTTCAGTTACTTGAGCTACATTTCACATGTAACTAATGGCTTGCATATTAAGTAGTGCCAAGACAGGACATTTCCATCGTCACAGAAAACATTTTATCTGTTGGCCCTGTTATGCGGTTTAAAAGAGTTCGGACATTAGCTGGTTGGCTAGCGTTAGTACTAACTGCCATTGTTACCACTACTGCTAATGAGACCAGCCCTGAGCCTTAGCTCATGCCTGTGTTACAGCTTTGCACACGCATGTTGATGTCTAAACCCCCTCTGTTGTTCCGTTGCATGCTGATAGAACCCACTCTATTTACCCTTTGTATCCGCCAGAAAGTGTTGCGCAAGTATCTGTCTAGTATATAGTTGGATGAAGTTCCAAGTGAGGACTAATCGATAAAATATGGATTATGTTGTCTGGTTTTGAATCAAATCAACTTTCATTATAGAGGCGCTGTGTGGCTGCTTGACTTCCTGGCGTTTTTCTTTTTTGTTTCAGAAATTGTTTTTTAGTGGGTAAACTGAGTAGCTGTTGTAAAAGTGAGTCACTTACAATCTACTTCTTGTTTCTGTCGTGTGTGTGTGTGTGTGTGTGTGTGTGTTGGTGCAAACAGTTCCTCCGTGTGTGTGGAGGGTCAACGTGGATGTCCCCGAGGAGGCAAAACAGAATCTTTCCTTCAGCGCTGCCGAGCGGTGGTGGGAACAGACGGATCTCACCAAGCTCATCCTCTCCAACAATAAACTCCAGTCGCTCTCTGAGGACCTTGGCCTCCTGCCTGCGCTGACCGTTCTCGATGTGAGTTGCCTCTGATTATGGGTTGGAAGTGAAGAGACGCCGGAGCGGAACTTGGGCTTTGATAAGCACGAAACCTTTCATGTTGAGGTGGTAGAATGCACGGCTGAGAACAAAGTATTATGTCAGGCACAACGTAATAATTAAGAGTGCAGAACCCCCGCTTCTGCTCCAACATGAGGGCCGGCCCGTGGGGAAAGTTGCCTCGAGGTGCCTTAGTCTCCATGCCCGCCCTGAGGAGGGACAGTCCCACCTGTCCTGTGACATTGTTCTTGGGGTTGAGTTGCCGCCTACCAGCAGATTTGGTATTTCACCAGTCGTTCCTTCTACTCCTTTCTTACTGTCATTTTATCATCACCGTTATTCTAGACATTGCCACAAGTACAATGCTTAAGATGGTTTTTATTTTACTTTTCATAACTTGTTGGCAATTTCATTGATTTACTAAACTACCAAACTTAAATTTTTGTGTTTTTATTGAGCAAGTCTGTGTTTAGGGCCTAGTTCCCATGTCGTGGTAAAACAAAGCAATTTTTTGAGAACCTTCAGACTGTTGGTGATTTCACTTACCAACATCAAAAATCTTGAAATTCATGAATGTGTGAAAGTGGGATGTACGTAGTGGAATTTCTAGAGGCATTTTTACTATATTTGTAGGACAAATGGACTGGCTTGCTCTGTGCTTCGTTCTACTTTAAGAACAGTTCCTGTGAGAACATGGGAGCAATTCCATTTTCCTTATAGAGTTTTTATAGTCTCATGTACTTCTCATAACTCATACTAATGGGGGCTGTGGTTAGTTTCTAACCCTCTCTTCTATTTGAAATTAAGATTCCCCTCAGTGAGATGAAGTGTGTGTGTGCTTTCCTTTTGATATTGTTATTTCATGGTTTCTGAGCTTCAGTTTGGTGGGTTTCAAAATCCTTTTCCTGTCCTTTATGCAGCCTAATTCCCAGAAGCCCAGTTCACTCTCGTTGGATGAGAAGACCAGGGGTTATTAGTGAGCGATTGTGTACACTGGCAAAGGTTACCTCTTGTTAATTATGAGGCTAACAATATTGACTTTGTCTTAATTTTAGATACATGATAATCAGCTCACATCCCTTCCTTCTGCAATAAGAGAGCTAGAAAATCTTCAAAAGCTCAATATCAGGTAAGATTTCAGCTTATTTATTTCTAATATTGCAGTTGAATAGTGTCAGTCTAGAAGTTACATTTTTTATAGCATTAGAAGGTACCAGGGGCTGAGGCCTTGCTGTGCTGTAGAGCACACACGCAACATCTGTGAGGCCTGTGTTCACTCCGGACACTTGTGCCCTAAACAATCTTTGTATTATCTCCAAAAATAGAGGTAAATTCATTCATTCATTCATTCATTCATTCATTCATTCATTCATTCTTTTGGAACCAGAAGTCAAACTCAGGACCCTGCGCTTACCAGGCAAGCACTCGTGCCGCTGAGCTATATCCCCGGCCCCTGAGCTCCAAAAATAGTTAAAAAAGAATGAGGATTTGAAGTTTTAGTTTTCAGATTATTGTATGTATGTATGCGTGTATTTAAGAGATGGGCTGTGGCTATTCCTGGGCCTGGCCACCCTCCTGCCTCAGCCTCCAAGTAACTGCACAGGGCTATAGACCTGCCCTGTGATACACAGCAGATTATTTACCTTCATGTTTGCTTTTAGAATTGCTTGCACATTTTCTGATGTATGAATTAAGCCAATGGCTTTTTAAAAAACTGTTTTCTGTGTATGAGGTAAATTATAGTGGGTCTTATTTTTGGAAAAGTTCTTTCTTGACATCTCAAGCTTTAATTTACCTTGATCTGAAAATAGCTAGGTATTATACACTAGGAAAGAAGCGCTGAACACTGCTTTGATTCATTGGTTAACGGTGAGGCACATCTTCCTTCCTGCTCTTCTGTCCTCTACCCACTCTCGTGCTTAGGGCGGACCTCCATGGGTCATGCTTGCTTCCCAGCCCTCATTTTCTTTTCTTTTTGGCGGTAGTGGGGTGGAACCCAAAGCCTGCACACTGAGCTACAGCCCCAGCCCTTTGATTTTTTTAAATTATGAAATGGTCTAGCTAAATTGTCCAACCTAGGCTGGAATTTGCGGTCCTCCTGCCTCAGCCTACCAGAGTGCTGGGGTAGCAGGTGTGTGCCACCAGGCCTGGTTAGTTCGTTTTAACACTAGCAGTGTTGAAATTCCCCAGGCCCTGGGGCCCCACAAAAGCAGGGTGCTGTTGTCCTGGGAGGCTGCGTGTCTGAGGCTCTGATGAACGGTTTCCCCCAGCATTCCCCCAGATTTTAAAGAAAGAATCTTTGCCTTATCTTTGCGGATATATATACCAATTCTATAGTTTTCTATAGAATGAGGAGAGATTCCATTTAGATGAGGAAAGCAGTGGTTCCTAAGGCATAGTGTAAATTTCTTGTCTGCCCCAAGACTACTGCCTGGCGGCCCCTGCAGCTGCAGCATTTGCCTGGAGGAAATGCGTGGATTGCAGTCCTGACCTTACCCCCAGAGGTTCCCTCCAAGGGTCTTGCTTTTATTATTAACTTCACATCGTTCTCGCCTAGCAGTAGTCTTTGGAAAAAAGATATTGTTCAAATTATAGCATTCATTTGTTAGTTTACAAAAGACAGTATTTCTGTTTACAAGTTATAGTAATTCTTGATCACAGAAAAGCGAACGAATGCTGGCAGTGAGCCACATTTTTTTCTGAACAAGAAATCAGTTTAAAAACTAGTTTATAAAATAAATGTAGCTGTAGATCTAAGTAATGTAGTCAGCTCAATTTTCAGGTAGAAACTTAACTGATTTCTTTTTTTTTTTTTTTTTTTTTTTTTTTGGTTTTTCTCCGGTACCAGGAACTGAACTCATGACCTTGCGCTTGCCAGGCAGGCGCTTTGCCACTGAGCTAAATCCCCAGCCCCGAAACTTAACTGATTGAGGGAGTACAGTTCCCAAAGTAACAGTCCTCACTTGGGAAGGATCGGAACGTTCATCACTTACCAGAATGTCTCCGTGTGCAGGGCTCTCGCCGTCCGAGCTGCATCAGAGCCTCTTCCCTGAGAAGTCCCGGGCGTAGGGCCTGCAGAGACTGGAGCGGAGAGTCCAGGGAGAGGAGGAGGGAGGGAGTGTGGCGGAAGGTTGGACCCCGGCACGGGGTACCGAGCACTGGTGGAGCAGTCCGTGGTAGAGACAGGGAGGAGCAGCTCGGTTACCTTGGGCTCCTTCCTGACGCGTTCACTCGCAGCTGAGGCCCTGAGAAGAGTGACTGACTTGTAACTGTTTCATTCTCTTTTAGAAAACATCTTTTGGGGCTGGGGATTTAGCTCAGCAGCGCAGCGCCTGCCTGGCAAGCGTGAGATAGTGAGTTCGATTCCTGGTACCGGAAAAAAACCCTCAAAAAAAGATAACATTTTTTGGCTTTCTTGTTCCAGCAACCTTTATTTTAATATAATGTAGAGTTATTAGAAAGCCCTTCATATTTCTCTTTTTCCTGTTACATAGGAAAGCAGCTGTTTATGGATTGAAAATAGGGTGGAATTTATCAGTGATTAAGTTGCAGTATACTTGGGATTTGTTCACTTATCTTTTAGTTATCAGAGAGTGCATTTTCCTCAGGGATTTGACACTTACCCTAAAATCAATAAACTGAGTATTTCTACCTCTACAGACGGGCTCAACTAAAAAGTTAAGACCAAATACAGCGTGGAAGTGAATATTATGCTCAAGAGGACATTCCAGCCCTCAAACAGAAATAGTTATTTTTGTCTTGAATGGTACATTTAAAACCTAATGTCTGTATAACTCCATTGAAATGTGTGTGTAAATATAGTTTTGTCAAAATTGCAGAAGTCAGATACAGTTTAAGAAATTAGGAGTCCAATAAGTCCTTTCATGTTACATGAAAAATCAAAGTTGGTTATAAGTAAGTAAGTAAGTAGAAATTCTCAAGTTATTTTTGTTTGTTAAAAACCACTTACTGCTTTCCTTTGATACTATAATTTGATTATTTTAGATTACTGTTATTTTAATGAGCATTTATATTTGGGAGGTGAATTTTGATAAGCATTTAAATTAGTAATCATATTTCATTTATGTCCATGAGGTTGGTCAGAGATATAAATATTTAATGTGTTGTTTTCCAAATTAATTAGCATTTATTTTATTGATCAATAGCCACAATAAACTGAAAATGCTCCCTGAAGAAATTGCAAATCTAAAAAACCTGAAGGGCTTCTATCTCCAGCATAATGAACTAACGTGCTTACCAGAGGGATTTGAGCAACTTTCCAGTTTAGAAGATTTAGTAAGTTGTGATTTTTCTAATTTTTGTATTATTTGGGGCCAGTGGGATGGTGGGCTATTCATCATGCTGCGAAACTGGAGTTTTGATTGAAATTTTGGGACATGGGATGAACTAGATTACCAGAAATTGTTCATTTCAGTGATACTGCTAAATTAGAAACATTTGTATTTTTTGTGTGTTATTAAATCAACTGCAAGTCATAATTCAGGAATACAGATTGGGGAAGAGACAATATAGATGACTTTGTGTCTTGGTTACTTTTCTCTCATTGCTGAGAAAAAATACCCGACACCCAAAATTAAGGAAGGAAAGGTTTATTTTGCTCACAGTTTGTGGAGGTTTCAGTCCATACTCAGCTGGCTCCAAGGCAGAGTGGCACACAGCACAGGGCAACAGTTCATAGCAGTGGAAAAGAGCAAAAGGGAGGAGGAGCCTCTTTCCCTCCCTTGTATTATATGCAGGCTACCTGCCCCAGGGCGAGTGTAGGGCTCACACCCAAAATCCCAGCATTGGACCGTGGATCAATCAAAAACTCAAGACCCCTGCCCCATGCCTGCATGAGACTTTGGGGGCATATCTAGACACAAACCATAACACTTTGCTATTCAGGGACTTTTATTAGCTTAGCAGAATAGAAGGAGGGTATCTTTAGCATATACCAATTCTATAGTTTTCTAGTCCCATTTCTATTTTCTTTTTTGTTTTGTCTGTGGACCTTCTTCCCTCTGAGTATTCAGACGGTCCCTTCATGACCTGCGTTTGGTTCTGTTTTTCAAAATGGCCACATACACCTATCTTAAATAGACATAGCCATAAAATAGCACAAGTGTTATTTTAATCTCATTATCAAGAATAAGTAAAACGCTGTGGGCACTGTGCTTTATGGTTTACGTATGGCGAGGTGGGTGTTGTACCCCTTACTACAACTTTTGTCCCAGGATCTAGTCCAAGATGTCATCCTACACAGTGTCCTAAACTTTTGACATGATAAAATACTGATTCGTTAGCAGTCTCTTGATACTTAGGTAGTGTTGAAGTTGTAGATGATATGTTATAGATCACGATAATATAATGTTGTGATTGCAGCAGTTCTGTGATTATTTTAAATGAACAGATCCAGCATTTTTATCTTTTTTTATCTTCTCAATTTACTGAGAGTAGCAGAGTGTAGTTGTTTAATGTTAGGCTCAGTGAAAGTTTTTAGAGAAGATTGTTAGAGGTCATTTTTTCTTGTGCATTGTTGCCATGGTTCTTATATCACACTTCCCTGGTGGCTGATAGAATTCTTTACCTTGACGTTAAAAGAATTAACCTGGTTCATAACATTGTCTTTGAAGGGCATTTAAAAATAGTTCTCCCGTGTCTTAAGGCAAAAAAAAAAAAAAAAGAAACATGACAACGTAAAGAAGATGGGTGTGAGTATCAATTAAGCCTGAATGAATGGGAAGTAGGGAGAGGACTTCCAGCCTTGAGCAAAGCAGACTTACTGAGGTCAGCAGAACCAAGAAAAAGTATTTTTTCATCAAAATTTGCAGTGGCTGCTTTTTGAGCTTTATTTTTCTTTCTTTCAGAAATTTTTTCTTTGTTGAAAACAAGTTATTCATCTCGTATGACCGTTTACTAATAATGTGCCTAGTTCATCGTAGGTGCTCAGTGACTGTAAGATAAATGAGTGGATTCATGCATTGGAAACATGCATGATATAACAGCTTTAACAGAAAACATGGAATGTTAATTAACATTACATTGATATAAATGGCATTAAAGTGAATTATTATGGAATCTCATCAATTTCAATTTAATATTTTGTAAGGAAGAATCCACTGTATCTTGTGTGCTACATTGATGGACAGACATATAGTAGGCCTGTAGATTTTGAAAGAATATCAAAATAAATGGTGGTCTGTGAAATTTTCAGTGATAGAGGTCACTCCTGAAATAGTCTCTTTTATGTTACAGTTTATGTTACATTCTCCCAAAATTCTGAAATCCCCTGTAAGGATATTTCCTCACTTTGCAGTTTTCTCACTTACTCACACATTGCGTCTTTTCTGTTTTCAAAGGATCTTTCAAACAATCGTCTTACAGCCGTTCCTGGTAGTTTTTCTTCTCTACCCAATCTGATGCGACTCAATCTTTCCAGTAACCAACTGAAGAGTTTGCCGGCAGAAATAAGTAGAATGAAAAGTAAATCTTCTATATTTTAAAAATTGCATGACTTTGAAGTTGATACTTGTTGCCTTTATAAAAATAATTTTTAATATAGTTGCAGACGAAAAAATAGTTTTTTATGGCACAGTAAGTAGTCTGGTTTTCTCCAGACCATTACTGTGTAGCAGTTGCCTAAATAGTGAGTTGTAGTAACGTTATATTTCTGAGAAGTTGGTAAGTCTTCGGTTATGCTGTGTCTCTCTTTCTTGAGAGATTATTCCTGTCTTGAAAGTGAACGCACCCATCATGTGTGGTTATACTACTTACAGCCATAACAGTGTCACAAGATGATCTTGCTTTACTTGAGGGCCCAGGTGCTTAGTGCTTTTGTTTTAAAGTGAAAGTTCAAAAAAAAATTTCTTTGTGACACAGTGAATTGAATTTAGGACCTTGTGCTTGCCAGGCAGACCTGCACCTCTGAGCTATACCCCTGGCCTGAAAGTGCAAAGTTTTGTGTTTCTATTAAAGTTTACCATTGCCCTATTGTATTTATGTACTGGAGAACTAATGTTTGGGCTTGTTCTTATTTTGTTTTTCTCTTTTCTTGTTCTTTTGAAAACTAATATTAAGGGATATAAGAATTAAGGTACCATTTAAATAGGCATTCTTCATCATGTTAGACTTCCTAAGATTCCGAAATATTTTTTTGTTCATTATTTCTTGATTGATGGTGCCTTGTGTGTCAGCTGTAGACCATTCAGCAATGAGGTCTTTTTTTTGCTAATCACACATACGCCTTCATTTTTATAACCATTTCTTTTGTGAAGCAAATTGGAGAAGTGATTTTTTACAATTAATTGCCAATAATTTTGAGATAAATTGTAAATATATACTGTCTTACTTTAAATTAATCATTACTTGTCATTTATAATAGAGTAACATAAAATAGGCCATCTTGCATGAAGATATAAGAAGCATGTTTAGTTTTTTTTATAAATTTGTTTAAAATATCTTAAGCAATAAGAATGTCATTGAAAAATGAATACAGCCAGGTGTGGTAGAGCCTACCTCTAATCCCAGCTATTCAGGAGTCCAACACAGGAGAATTGTATGTTTGAGGCCACCCTGGCCACATAGCAAGACTTTGTCTCAAAATATAAAATAAAAAATGGCTGGGGTTGTAATTCAGGGTATAGCACCTATCCAGCATATGCAAGGGTCCTGGGTTCAATCCCTAGTCACACAAGAGAGAGAGGGGAGGGAGGGGGAGGGAAACTCAGTAGGTAAATTGTAAGAGTTTCCAGCAACTTTCCTAATAGCCTGTTTAATTGATGATCAAAGGCTTTCTGTTCCTCAGGCACAACGTAGATATTTGTAATCCAGCATAAGTAGAAGATTTAGGTGGTGTTTCACTATGAATGACCAGATTCCAAGAACAGGACCTTACAATTGTATGGTGCTGTGCAAATTCAGAATGCTTTTGTGAATATCCTTTCAGCACCCTATGAGTACAGCAGTGCTGGAATGTAGCTGGAGTGACTTTTTCTTTTTAACAGTTTAAAGCTCCCTGGGCACAGGCTTGTAACTTCTATTGGAAACGGTAGAGCCAGAACTTGAATCTTGCTGCATCTCCACTGCTGTCCTCTACCACACAGCACTTGTTTCCTCTCAGCCGTTGTGCCTGAATGCACGTATTCTGGAAAATTAGGGGCTCTAGTTTCAAGACAAAGTTGTATGTATAGAATTGACTTGGTTCAGGTAGATCTGATAGCAACTTCCTTTTTGCTCCTCTAGTCAAATATTATATAAATAACTAAGAGTAGTATAAAGCAGTGCGGCGCTTGTTTTCCAAAGAGTAGCTTCATATACTAAAAGAGAAGCAGTCTGTCAGTGGAGTCTTGAATTATGTTAAATTGGACAGGTTTGAAGTATAGGAAGAGAAGTTGTAGAACGTGTATTAGGTATGTAGCTCTGTTGGAGGGGTGAGGGTGAATGTATGGAGAATATACGAGGCCTTGACAAATGGAGGGATCTACAGTGTGCATTAGCGAGAGAACTGCTTGTTAAAATGCTGGAAGCGAAGACCTTTGCCTTCCTCTAGTTTTGTTTTTCTGTTGTGCCTGTGAGAAAGAAAGACACAGGAGATAGATGCCCTATAATTAAGGACATTCTCTTGAGCTATAGTATGTACTCCTATGAGGACTGTTAGCTGAGGAAAAGCATGTAATTAAAACAAGGAAGACAAAGGCCGAAAAGCAGGCAGGAGGGGTGGGAGGGAGGCAGTATTGGGGGGTTGGAGACAGGCAGTGGGTAAGGACTTTCAGCAAGAGGCAGCTTGCCGGAAGATAAAGATATGCCAGAATCACTACCACTGGGCGTAGAGCTATGGACTGCGCTCATCCGCACATACACATGCATGTTTATATGTCAGTAATTACTCCAAGCTTTTTAAAAGGTGCATGATTGAGGGAAGCCATGTGTAATTTATATATTTTAGGGTAGTTCAACTGAATTGTGAATAACTTTCCTTTCTGACTGTAAGATGGTCTGAACAGTTATTTTCAGCAGTAATTCTGAATATGTATTACAGAATTAAAGCATTTGGATTGCAATTCAAATCTCTTGGAAACTGTACCTCCTGAATTGGCTGGCATGGAATCTCTAGAATTGCTTTATTTGCGAAGGAATAAATTACGTTTTCTACCAGAATTTCCTTCTTGTAGACTATTGAAGGTACTGTTTGGTTGATTATTCAATAACTATGTCTTTTCCTAAAGTTATTTATGAAAACTAATTTATAAAAAACCTTGCTAGTCTTGTTTTACCCTGGGCTTATTATTGCTTTTAAGTACTATGTTTTTTCCTCTGTTAAGTGTTTCAGACAATAATGATACTGTTAGTAATCAATTTTTGAAAAGATATAATTAACTTAAAAAGTAGAGATTTACCATTTCATTTGGTGAGTAATTTTATATGTGTTAATTCTCTTAAGTTTCTGCTTCTCACCTTTACCTGATCATACTCAGATCTGTTTAAAATTACTGTTTTTGGATTTTAACTATATAGGATTAATACTATCTTTTCCATGTACCATGCTTTAATTTCCTTTGTATATATTTTTATGTACGAGTGTCCAGTGTTACCTTTTTCTAAATAGAATGGTGATAGTGGTTTAAAAAATAATGGGAAAACTTTCATTTACTATGATTAATTTTCATCTAGTTATCAAGATTTTGCTGATGAGAAATAGTATATATATTGACCACTAATGACAATATTAAATAACAAGCTGGCTGTAACATACAACGTTTTTAAACTTACTGTTTTGAAACTAATTTTTCATCAGTGCAATTTTTAGATTGATAGTCTCAACCCTGTAAATTTAATGACTAAATCATTGTTCTGCTTTGGTTTTGAACACCTGATGCTCCTGCCAGACTCCACCTTAGTTATTTTTAAATTGCAAGAAAATTCTTGAAAATGTTTTTGCCATTTTTGTTTAGCTGTAAGATGGCTTAAATATAATTGAAAATACAAGCATATTAATAATGAGAAAGTTGCACTTTTCTAACATATGTTTATGGTTTGGAATTAAGAGTGCCCACAATTTTTTTCATTATGTAGTATAAAATTGAAGGAAATACACATAACTGATCTTTGGTTTTGTAGGAATTGCATGTAGGTGAAAACCAGATTGAAATGTTAGGGGCAGAACACCTTAAGCATCTGAATTCTATCCTTGTGCTAGACCTGAGGGATAACAAGTTAAAATCTGTTCCAGATGAAATTACACTACTACAGTCTTTGGAAAGGCTTGACCTAAGCAACAATGATATTAGTAGGTAAGTTGAAACATCAAAAGAATAGAAATTGTTCCTGTTATTTGATTGTAATTTGTTAAAATATTTATAGAAATCATGAATTCTTTTTTTCACTTTGAATTGACTAATATTTTTCTGAAGCAGGTATTATGTACAAAGAAATGTTACTAGGTTTTTGTCCTTAGTAGCCAGCTTGATATAACAGTAAAGCAGACGTATTTACAAATAACTATAACTCACTAGAACTGAACCATAGGGAGGTTGGATCTTTGTCTTTTTTAATTGACTGCTTTATCTCTAACTCCTAGATGGTGCCTCTGCAGATAGGAAGTCCTTGATCAGTATCTCTGAATTTGTTAAGTAAATACAAAGCCATGAGAGAAATATCAGATGTTTTGAGGAGAGTAAAGAGCTTACAGTTCACTGAGAGGAACGGGGCAGACCTGTAGGAGGAATGTTTCGCAGTGGTCTTCAGGACTGGGTTAGGTTGAAGCAGTTAGTGGCCCGGAGCACAGAAGTGAAGATTGCTTGACTGTCAGGGCTGGGCCTCCCCAGAGTCCTGCAGGGGATCTTTAAAGAATGACTAGGATCTTTATGAGTTCCCCTTGGCAGAAGGAAACAGTCAAACCACTCTTTTGGAGTTCTAAAGAGAGGGTGAGGAGGGAGATTGTGAGCAGCTAGGTCTTGAAAACTAAATTGAGCCCAGGTGGAAGAGGCTCTAGAATAATCAGTTTTCATTAGTTAAGAGCTATTGAAAAAAAAAACTGTGACAGACAGAACCAATTTGATTGTAATATTACAACCAATAAATAGTGGTTGGTTGGATACATTGACTACAGTGGTTTCTGAGTAGGAAATGCAAGTCAGGTTCCGTTCGTTTAATTTAATATACGTGTCACTGAGAGACACTGGCCGTGTCCAGTTCGCTGTGTACGAGGACCCGAACTGTGCTAACAAGGGAGCGGGAGAGAGAGCGGGCCGGTGTGAGAAGGTGATGAGCCAGAGCAGCTGTGTGTGAGCTGACTGGGGACGGAGAGGAACTGAGGAGCAAGCAGAGTCACAAAGAGTGAGAGAACCACAGTGCTCGGAGAGGGAGTTACCGCTTATATACAAGATATGAGGCTCAGCCTTACCTTGGATGATGCACCGATTAGATGTCTAAGGTTTTGCACTTAGATGCTAGAAAGATAGGGTTCTCTTTACAGAAGAAAAACCAGGCAAGTTAGACTTTCTTTTATGTGTGTATTTTGATAAATATTTTTAAAAATCAGATTTCTTTCCCCACAGTGCGCATATGACATATGGTACAGATTGACCACACATTCTATTTGTTTTTGTTGTTTTTGTTTGCTTATTTGTTGTTTTGAGATGAGGCCTCACTGTGTAGTTCAGGCTGGCCTGGAACTCATTTGTACCTCAGGCTGGCCTTGAACTCTTGGCGATCCTCCTGCCTCAGCCTTCCAAGTGCTGGGATTATTGCAGCGTGGACCACCACTCCTGTCTGACCATAGAGGAACAGACTTCTATGGATCATGCTTAGTTTTTCATTCATGTATGACAGAATCAACGTATGCCCTTCATAAGTATTGACATACAAAGTTTTCTCTGCAGCAGTTTCATCAAATTACTGCATGAAACAATGTAAAGCAAGTATTTAAGAAAAAAACTATAAGTAATTGTTATAGATACCTCATACACACACACACACACACACACATACACACACACACACACACACACACACACACAGTTGGGATATAATGGTATTTAGTAAATATTTGAGTTGTTTTTCCCTTTCTGCAAATACTTGTGAGACAGTAATGATAATTCATTTTGTGTCTGTAGATTTTCTTCTGTGTAGTTCCTCACACTGCTAATAGAGTAGTTTTTATTAAAAAAGACTAGATCATTCTGCTTAAAATGTTTGATGGTTTCCCATGGCCATAGCAAAGTTTTTCAAATTTCTTAAATGATTTCTCAAATCATTTAAGAAGCACTAAGGGGCAAAATCCAGGTTTTGAGGGACCAGTACTTTAGAATCACTTACAGTGCAGTCTTAGAATTCTCCTTCTTTTCTTTTTCTTTTCTTTTTTGTTTCTTCCCGTCCTCCCTCCCCCTGTCCCTCTCTTCCTCTTTATCATTATTATTATCAAAGAAGCCATTCCTGGGACGATTTTGACCATCTGATCTTCCTCCCACCAGCACTCTGAGAGCTACCATGTCATAAAGTCCAAAGTTACTAGCAAAACAGTTCCAGGGTGTTTCACACTCAGACCTCATTCATGTCCCTTTGCTGTTACGGGTCTCCTATTCCTTGACTGCCCTGCACTATAAATACACCAGCTCTTCGTTTTGTTCCTTCATCAAAAGCCCTTTGCCTGCCTTGCTGCCGGACAGCATCCCTTTCTTTCTAAGTGCAAACCCTGGCTTTGCTTTTCCTTTCTTAGCCTTTCCCCCTCCTAGCTTCTAGCTCTATTTTCATAGCATCTTAGGTTGTGTAGCGTTTGTCTTACTGTGTATGTTTTTATATGATACTCATGGTTGATGTATCACTTACATATACTGAAATTCACCAGTTCAGCCATACAGTTTGATGACTGACAAATGTAAGATTTGTGATTGAAATATACAGTGAATATTTGTTAAAAATTTTTGTTATATGAAAAGACATTGCAGTTCCTCTAATTTCCCTCAAAACCCCCCTTTCTGTGAATGCACTTCACATTCCCTTACCCCATTTTTCTTCCTAAAAGCAATTTTGAAAGGCCTCTTTTGTGGTGTCTTGGAGCTGTGACAAAAAATCCAGTAAATGCTGCTGATGAGTAACACCCAACCGAAAGGCAGAGTTCTAAGTGTAAGTTAATGTGGAGCAGGGGTGTGTCCCCGTCCACCTTAGTCCAACTGACTATGCGAGTTAAAGCTTGCAGTCAGTTACACGGAGGCAGCCTGGGCAGCACAGCTAAACACACTCATGGGAGAGGACTTGCAGAGCTGCTTCAGGGAGTGGGGAGAGCAGTGAGAGCATTTGAGAGGGATTAACGGCACGGTGTCTTTTACTATAGTAGCTGTTAAAAAAAAATTAGACATCAGCTGTATGTTTGATAACATCTCCTGTACATCTGTGTAGTCATTGCTGCTGTCATGTAGAACACTGCTGTCTCCTCAAACTTTCCTGACTCCATACAACTAACATCGGCCAACCACTGAAGTGCTGCGGTTGGTTCTGCCTTACTAGGCTGCCCTGTAAACAGCAGCATGTGCTGTATAGTTTGTGCATAAAGCTTCCCTCATGGGGCGGAAAGGTTTTGTGATTCATTTATGTGGTGGTTTGTATCAGTAGTTCATTTATTTTTGTTGCTGAATATTACTCGATGGTGAGCCTCAGCGATGTACTTACCTCTTCGCTGCTCAGCTGATGGATGTTTGAGTCCTGTTTGAGTTTTTGGCTGTTTATTTCTTCCAGTTCAATACATAGTTATGGGATTGCTTAGTGTATGGTAGGTGTGTGTTTAATAAAAGATTCTGCTGTCCATAGTCGCTGCACTATATTATACTCTCATCAGCAGTGTAAGATATTTATTACTGCGTTTGGGTAGTTGTGTATGTCATTTTCATTTGTTCAGTTAAAAGCTTAGAACACCAATCCTGCTATCTCCATACCGTCATCCTCTACTTTATAGAAGCTTAATAAATTTGATGAGATTGTATCTTCTTATTGAATGAAAGCATCTGGATGATTGAAAATTATTTTCTTTTTGGCATGTTTTTCATTTAGAAAGAATTTTGTTTATTTGCTTAAAGTGCAAAATCAAAATGGTCAGTGAGAATAGTTGTTTTGAGATACTAATTCATTAATACTCACATTTTTAACATTTACTTTTTAGCAGTGGATAGAGTTTGGCAAATGTTCTGTTGACCACTTTCTAGTTTTGCAGTTTTCGTAGGACAATGTCAAAAATATGTGTGGCTTTTCTTTTGCATGTTCAGCATTTATCTTCAGGGAAAATAGTTTAGGCTTAGTAGTTGGGCCTCCTTTGAGACCGTTATGTAATGTACTGTTTGTCATATGTTCTTATTTTCAGTCAATTATATGGTTAGTTTATTCTTATATTTAGTGTTTTAATTTAAATCAATTTAATCTTTTACAGTTTGCCCTATTCATTGGGAAACCTCCATTTGAAATTCCTGGCACTAGAAGGAAACCCTTTGAGGACCATTCGAAGAGAAATTATAAATGTAAGGATATTGAGAATTAAGCTCTTTATTTCTAAATCGAAATTCAAATATGGATGCTGATTTGTAAAACTAAGGTCTGCCCTGGTGAATGTGTGTCTTTGTCTCCGTCCTTTTAGAAAGGAACTCAAGAAGTCCTCAAATACCTACGCAGCAAAATCACAGGTACTTCATTTATTTTCTGCTTTTTCTATTTTCTTTTGTATTCTGAAGAATATATGAAAGATGATGACATGTAAGCTACTTAAACTTCAATGTGGTGTGGATATGAATGTTTAGAAGGAATATCCCCTGGCAGTTGTGGCTGTAAATTTGGATCCACACAAGCCATACAAATCCTGAAGTTATTTTAAAAATCCTTAAACTCTCAGTGATAATGTTCTGCCTTCAATCTCTTAGATTTATGTTAAAATCTACCAATCATAAAATAGCCTAACAAAGCTTCAATAGGTGCCTAATTCTTCAACTTGGAAAAAGCAGCAGAACTTCACTTTCAGGATATAATATTTGGATTCAAGTGACCTGTAAGTATGTCAGTATTAAGTATCTATTGTCCATACATAGTTCTGAAGAAACTGAGAGACATTTTTAAGATGTAATTACTTAACATGAACTTGTACCAAAATGAAAATAATATAAATGTATTTATATTCAGTCATTACTTATTAAATGAATGCCTGACTGAAAGTGTGATAAATCCTAGATTTTATTCGTGTCTGTCACAGTAAACTAGTTATAAACGAGCGCACGAGGAAATAATTAGCTACACCAGTGCAGTCCTGTACGGCAAGCGTAGTGGCTGAGAGCCGCAGCTGCCAGTGGGGGTCCCACCTCTTCGGATTCCTGTAGCCTGCATTGCCCGTCCCGTCCGCACAGGTCAGAGGAGTAGCAGTTGCATTCTTCTGCAGTTTTTGCTTTCTACCTTGGCATTCTGGGAATTATTAAACTACTTTTCTAAGACTCATTTCCCGCCAATGAAAGAGTTTTCTTTCCCTGCGCATAAGCTTTCCCCTCCACAAAACAGTGGCTGACTCTGACCCAGCTCAGAGGGCGCATCAGCGTAGTCATGTTTTCATGGATCCCGAAAGCCAGGGGGAGCCTCAGGCAAGCTGCGTTGTGGACAGGCATTCCTCCTAAGAACCTTTATCCCAAGATGAGGAGGGAGGTCCACACGTGTAATTTTATTTCTGCAGAGACCGCGGAGGCAAATCCTTGAGCCTGTTCGCGGGTGGCGAAAGCAAACAGATCGCTGAGCCCTGTGCTGGAGGGAGTGGTCTCGTGCCGGCGCCAGCCCCTCAGAGGACCGCTGAGGGCCGCCCGGGGTCCCTGCGCGCACGTGTCTGAGGCCTCTGTGACACTGGCTGTGCGTCTCTCCAGGCCTCTCCCACCAGAGGCTCTGAAGTGCCTTCTCATTCCTGGAGTAGCTCAGTCTTAAACCAGAACCGCACCGCCAACCGGCTGCTGCTGCCCTCTCCCCCAGCGTGTCTGTGTGTGTCCTGGGGCGCACCCGGTCCAGGCTTCCCTGTGCTTGGGGGCAGGCCCCTCCCCAGGAGCCGGGGTGATCTCCCAGCCTGCGCTGTTCTTTCCTGTGCGCTGTCTTCTGTAGCTCCCTGATGTTTATCTTTCCCGGCAGCTCTTTCTTGATTCCTGGAGCTCTTCTCTTTGTCCTTGCTGGGTAGATTTTTCCCGGATGTCACAGTGCCAGTCCTGGAGAGGCTGTGATTGGCTGCTGGCACGTACTCCGCCATTTTTGTTCTGTCTGTGTAGTTCTTTTTATGTTACCAAGATTCTTTTGTTACTGTTTTATTGAGTATTTTTATGTCTATGTGCATAAGGGTTATTAACCTATTATTTTCTTTTCCACATGTATTTTTGTCTGATTTGGATATCAGATTAATATCAATCATTAATAATAATATTAATATTGGCCTCAGAAGGTGAGTTGGGAGATATTCCCTCCTCTTCTATTTTTTAGAAGAATCTTTGAAGTATTCTTACAGATTTTTTGAATATTTGGTAGGATTTAACAGTGAAACCATGTAGGCCTGGGATTTTTCTTTGTGCTGAGTTTGTGTTTTTGGGTGCTGATTTAGTTTCTACCTATGCTTAACTAGTGTATTTGTTATTAAGTCACTTTTGATTGTTTTTGATTTTTAGGAGTTTGTCCAGTGTATCCAGGTTATCTAATTTGTTGGCATGTAATTTTTCAGCTTATGCTTTTTTATTTTTGTAACGTTAGCGAATAACTTGTTGATTTTGTTGTTGTTGTTGAGCTTTCTGAAGAACCAAATTTCAGTTTCCTTCCTTTTACTGTTTTTCTGTTCTGTTTCATTAACTTCCAATCTAATCACTGTCTATACTGTCCTTTATTTGCTTTTCTTTTTTCAATGTCTTAAAAGTTGGAGGTTAGGTTATTGATTTGAACTTATATAGGCATTAATAACTATAAATTTGCCTCCAAGCAGAGCTTTAGCTGCTACTTGTATGCTTCCATGTATTCTGTTGTCTTTCAAAGTGTTTTCTGATTTCTCGTTTGATGTCTTTTGATTTGTTTAATAGTTCGTTGATTAATTTTGTTTCGGTATGTTCCTGACACACTGTTTTTATTTGAAAACCTACTTTGTCTAATAGCACGAGAGATATTCTTCAAGTTTCGGAGTTGCAGCCTGATACAGCCATCTTTCCTTGACAGTGTGTCAGAAGTGCATTTAGTGTACCTCTTGGTGCTGCCCAGGAAAGGGGAGGAAGTCCATCATGCTTCATGCGTGCAGTCTAGGCTCTAAGGGGGGTGGGGTGAAAGGAGGTGAGTCTTTAGAGTTTCAAAAGAAGCCAGTTCTCTTGTATGTTTAATGTTTTCTTGAGTCTAAGTCCCAGTTAGGAGGTGGACAGGAGCTGTAAGCCAGGCCTGGTGGCACCGCCTGTAATCGTAGCACTCAGAAGGCTGAGGCAGGAAGATTGCCATGAGTTTAAGGCCAGCCTGGGCTACATAGTGAGTTCAAGGTGAGTTCAACCTGAACTGCATAGCAAGACCCTGTCTCACAAAACACTATTAGTCCTAAATTAGAGTCTTCTTCCTGGAGGGAAAAGTTTTCATGTGTCTTCTCATCCCAACCTTTTATCTTTTTTGTCCTCTTCGTCTTTGGCTCGCTAAGCTCGTCTGCACTGCTGAGTTAGCTGCTTTCCCGGTGGGCTGTTTCCTTCTACCCAGCCCTGTGGGTAGGCTTCTCCTGACCGCCTGCTCCTAATAACCGAACTCCGCTGCTGCCAGCAGGTTCATCCCCACAGCACCTCCAGGCCGTGCGCGTGTCCCTGTTCCCCGATCCTGCCGTCTCTCCTGTGAGCTGCTCGCCCACCATCTTACCCATATCCTTAGCTGGCACCTGAATCTCTTCTTTCTCGCTCTTTCCTGAAAGTTCCCCTGTTTCTGAGAGCTTTCCCTTCACTGAAAAGAGGTCAGTTCTCTTGGAAGGAGATCAGGAGCAGTCCTGCGGCCAGGGCTGTGGAGCTGGAAATGGGACGGTGGCTGAGTGTCCCCCAGCCTCCAGTTGAATGCTCCCTGGGGGCCGTGGGCAGTGGCTGGAGCTTGTTATCCTTGTCTCTCCTTGCTTTGAACCACAGCCGGAAGGGGAGGGTTGGGAATTGACCGGAAGGAAGGGGCCCCAGCCTCTGGACCCCGCTCGCAGGGTTCTAGACTCAGCAGTAGGCAGCTGAGGCTGCCGTGCCTTCCAGGAAGAGCCATCGGCTGGGTGCAGGCGCTGAGGGGAATCCTGTGTTCTTGGCTGTGGCCATCGGGAGCAGGGGCCTCTGCCTGTCCGAGCTGGGAGAGCGCAGGGTGGAGCAGGCTGAGTGGGAGTGCCAGAGCCATCTCACTGAACTTGCGTGGATTTTCCTTTTCAAGTGTTTCTTCATCTGAGGTTCCTGTGACAGTCATTTCAGCAAATGGTTCGCTGCTGCTGCTCATGGCGATGTCCTCTTAGAGATTTCCCGAGTTTTTCCGGGAAGTAGGTGAGCAGAGCTCCTTGTGTTGTCCTGACCTAAGTTGGTCTCTGGGAAATGTATTTCTTCCAGCATGGGCTTGCGGTCGCCCTCGTGGGGCGGTATACACATCACAATCATCTTTACCCCCTCGGCCCCTCCCCACCCCCTCTCCACTGTCCCTCTGGACGTACATATTCTATCTAGAGGACAAAAATGGGGAAACTAGCGTCGCCAGAGTAACAGTAGCTTAGTCCCCCTGACCAAGGGTCAGTAAAACGTCTTCTGAGAATTTGTCTGTGCCGAGTGTCTTCACGGGAACCTGTGTCGTGTAGCCCTTTCCTCTTCAGCCTTGGTGTTGTCTTTCTCTGTCTGTTTCTCTCTCTCCTTTGCTCTCCTTTTCTTATATTTGGGGAGAGGAAAATTTATTTCAAATAGGACAACCAAGCAAAAGCCAGCTGCACAAAAGGACTGGCTTTCTTTCCTTAAGTTCAGAACTAGAAAAAAAATTAGTTTACCTGCTTTAAAAAATAATAGAGAAAAGTACCCATGCTCAAAGCCTGAGAGGAAGCGACTGTCTGTTCATAACCTTTCAGGCGTTTATCTCCCCCACCTCTGACTGCTCATTTTACTGCCATCTTCCCACTCGTGCTTCTTGTGCTAGCTGTGTGATCACATTTAAAGTTCCGAGGGATCTGTGGACATTTGTAGCTTCCAGTGCTTCGTTCTCGTCTCTTCATTTTATTGTGTTTGTACAGGCATGCACGCTTAAAATGTAGCCTGAGTTCTTTGGACTTCAAGATAGCTAAGTTGAGTTTTTCAAAACATGCATTGGCAGGGATTTTATAATGGCAATAGTCATATGAAAAACAGTTATGTTTATGCATAATCTGATTTCAGATAGACCTTTGCGCATGCATACAACTAAAGGACCGAGGTTTTTCCTTATCAAAGCATAGCTTTATTTCTTACAAGAAATGCGCTTTTTGTGAATAACCTTCTCAGTGAATGAACCAGCTGTGCTATAGTTTGGATCTGAACTGTCCCCCAGAGGCCCTGTGGTAAAAGCTTACTCCCTGCTCAGCCTTCTCTGCAGAGGTGCTGCCTCACTGGGGGAAGTCAGGTCACTGGGGCTGAGCCCTAGAGGGAGATACTGAGGCTCCAGCGCCCTGGTCTCCCTCCTCCCTTCC